TGCAGCAGTAGTAGGTGGTGTAAAATGGTAGAAAATGATTGTGTGGGAACCGTAATTTCAACGAAGTCAATTCCAATCCTCAGTGCCATTCACTGGCTGTGTTTTAGGCGAACACCTCTTGGATGATCACTTGGCAATTGACACCCAATCATTGCAAACCACCAATGTGAAGGGAGTTACACAGGGAGTGGACCAATTCGCATTTCTGTTATTGACTCCATTGAACCGCCGAATCAGTGGCTGCAGCATTGACTTCATTCTTTATATCAGTGAGATCTATCCCTGTAAACAGCTCTGCAGGCCCAATGCTATTTAATTTTGGTACACGTAGGTAGCGCACTTTTCTCTACATAAACTTCAACATTAAACATTAGTTTTAGCCTTGGAAACTTATCAAATCGCAAAATTTTTGGCGCACAAGTTACTACTTCGTTAAAGTTTTTTTAATGCTATTAGACGAATTGCCCCGGCTTAAAAATCAACACATACTTTGAGTGAATATTGTCCACAATTTAAAAATGTTTTACTTTTTTGCATTTTGAGTGCACTAACAATACCAAAGCGCTCCAATGCAAAAGCGACCGTTCTTGAAATTCACTTCATATTTTCGTTTCGACTTGCAAACTGTCTTCTGCGAAATAAATTAGTACTGAGCATCTCCTTATGGTTGGAGTAACCACCTCATCTGCGTCGAGAATTGCAAATTAGTGAAGATTATAAGAGTCTGCTAGTGTATTGGCCAAAGAAATGGCAGAACAAAGTTTATAATAAACGTAGGAGGATAAGATGGTAGTATCCATAGTTGGTGTGCCATTAGAGCTTCACGAAATAATTTGCAAAAGTATAAACTTTGGTAAGAAATGAAGGAAATGTGTACGTAGCTTCACATCAACCGGAATTTCTGGAGTATGGTTTGCTGCATTATTAGAAGTGAATTTTTTGACCATTAAACGATTAACTGGTGATGATCTACTAATTATCTACTCATTGTACACTACTAATAAAGAAAACGCTCTCTCCCCATGACTCTGCATTGTGTGGGTGCATGGTGCACGGATAAGGCAATTGTTCATAATGAAATGTTGACTTACTAGAGGTCCGGTCACAAACATGCCTAAGGCCTGTTCATTTATGTCTTTGATACAAATTAGAGGCGTAGAGGGGTGCTCTGTCTTTTGAGGAATGGTCAAAACTACTAAGTCAGTCAATGAGGGGCAGACCCACCCTCAGAGAAAATGGGCAAAGATAGGACCCAGTTAGCATGCTCTCAAGCACAACTGTGGTAACACTCAATGCCTCACTTTGGTTCGGAGGAAAAGGAGAAGTGTAATGCATCACTTCCTTTTTCAGTCTTCGTGTTCTTTTAAGGTGTTCCTTCATCTCATATTTGGCCCTTTTCCATTATTTCTGTACAATTATATGATTATGCAATTTCAGGTAGTCTTTGACAATCAGTTAAGAAATGAAGACGAGTTAGTTTTGAAGGTAGCAGGGCTTAGATTCTCGTCTTCTGAAGACAGCACCTTTTATGGATACGTAATTTCTGGGCAAATGTAACTGTTGATAGGGATTATGAGGGGCGACGTGGTACCTGTGCAGCATATAGAATTAAACTAACTGTTCCAACACCGAAGCGATAGATTGAAGGCAACCACGAAGAGTTTTGAGAAATCCATTTTTAAAATTTGCATTGTCGGTAACGACGGACAATAAACATGGCAAAGGCAATGTGTACATCTTAAGAACATATTTTTATAAACCATATTAGTCCCACTATGTTCTGATTCCCATGCTAATATCACTGGCATTAGCCTAGTTTATAATTAGATATCTCCTCTCACTTCGTGTGTCCATTTTTGGGTTTCCACCATCTTTTGGGAGGACATGGAATAGGAAGAAGTGGTTAGTAATGGTATACAGGAACACTCCTGATTCTGCTTTTTCCTTCGCTCCCTTTCAATCCACCTTGTTCATGACGCACAATAGTGCTGATTTCTTACCCTTTTTTCCTCTTTGGCCATATTGCAACAAATTATGCCCATCATCAGCGGGTTAATTGTCGGGAGCATGCAACCAAAGGTTTGTGCTCCTTTTCCCTCTCGGTCGGCTTTCACTTGCACAATATTTTGACGTTTTTCACTGTGCTGATGTTTGACAACAATCCGACTCTGGACTGATGCAACACTCATATTTTGCTTCCTTACGGCTTCTTCAGTTAGAGAGCTAGCGGCCTTGAAGTTTTTTTCCATCCCTATTAAAAATTATGGCTGTAACCAGTTGGACAGCCAAAGCGCTCTGTGTCCTTCACATCACCTTTAATAATATCGTTTGACTCATCTCTAAACTAAAACGCGACAATCGGCCATTTCATCATAAAGCGACTTCAGTGTCATTTTGGACTAAGCTTTGTTGGCAAATGGTAGAGTTCACATGAAACTGTCAGAATTGAAGGTTTACAAGATGGCAGTGCTTACATGCATTGATCTTCTCTCCTCCCATTGCTCCTGCTTATGAAATGTGTGGATGATATTTCAACATCCTCGAGCAACAAAACGCTCCCAAACACTCATAAATGAACGTGACTGCAATAATAGAGTTGAATGGAAAAAGAGTCGCTATCTTCTGTTCAGGAAAATAAGGTACTGCATCTCTTGTGTAAGTATGAAAATGGCTTAATTTGAAGCAGTTTACGATAAAATTTGGGAAGTGCTCCTCTGCGCTACCAGAGAGACTGATAGACACTCTTAAGTAATAACTTGCATAGCCTTATAGCACGAATTTCTTTTGACCACTTTTTAACTAACTTGAACTACAAAAAATGAAGGGGCTGTTTTTAACCGCATATCTTGCTTTAATTCATCGAAATGCCTTTGATGTTAACAATTGCTTACTGGTTGTAAATTTACATAAAATTTGTCGAATGGAGGTCATTCCTATCAACAACATTAGCTTCTCTAGTACAAAGATTCAAACCCACTCATTTGCTCTTCACAGAGACACGAATTTCCCATATGCAATGCTTGTGCTCCTGCACTGCATTTGCCTTCCGCTTACTCGATTGCCCGCTAAATTAACCGGGTTGAGCTTCTCCACTAATCGGTAAGAAGATAGCTGTAATACTCGTACTGTGCATTTCATGACTCCTTACCACTTTGCGTAAGTTGCTTCCTACATTACTTTTACTGCATTTTTGGACCTTCACATTGCTTTGCATTTTTTATCATCTCACGCTTGAACTAGCAGTATCACTCGCAATTGATCTGTAAGAGGCAACTCTAGCCTAATTAATGACGAACCGGGATAAAATTTTAAAATGGTACAACTTCTTCTAACCAAAGTTGTAACACCATTGATTCTGTTTAAAGTAATCTCGCCATAAATTTGGTACTTAGCTTTGTTTTTAAATGATGGATTTTACATAGAATCCTTACAACGGTCTAATTATTAGATGTGAAATATTCTACATCATCTCCTTTAATCCCCGCATTGCCTCTGCTGAAAAAGTAAGTCAAAACACATAAACGGTAAGTGGTATTTAATCTACATAGCACAACAAACACAAATACTTATTGGACCAATTTGCTAATACCTAAGACGACTTGATATGAACGATTTCAGACCTCGGCAAATCTAGCACTAAACATGATTACATAAACCCAGTCCACTCAAGAAGAATGGTTATCTTCCTTTCAAGTTCATTAGTTTGCTTTACTTTATTAATGTCAACTATTTTTATTTAAGTGCGGATTTTTACTTTGTCTGATAAAGTTCATTCGTACCATCAGCTTCTGGTTATCGAGTACCGAGATTCGGACTATTGATGCAGAACCTCTACCACTTCAGTCACATACCTAATCTCTTTCTTCCTACCGGTTTCATCCACCCTTTGAATAAGGAATGTTCCTTGACATCCTTGGGAAATTGTGCGACAAGGAGGAGCAGTTGATTAACACAAAGATGGATGCTTATACGCTGCAAACCATCACCAGATTTGTGCTCGCCTCACAACTTGTTAAAGTAATTGTATAAAATATTTTCTATAAAAGTTTAGCTACTCGAGAAAGCCATATGAGGTGTCGCTAGAGGTATGCTTCACTGACAGTCCTGAATAATGCACCAATGTTGATTGCATTCTGACTCAGAAAAAAGGGATGCAGAAGGAGATACCGATCATGCTTATCCACTCACGTTACATCAAGCTTCACCAAGTTGGTCGTGCACTCCACCTCTCAACCCACTCAGTCAGTTTAAAGAGGATGTTTAAAGTTAATGAGCATTCTGTTATGAGTGTCTTCGAATTCAGAGGTGAAACTTGGCTGCTTCTCTCTCATGTCAATTCTGGCCTACTAGTACCCTGGTCAACCTTAGCCACCTCTGATTAGCAAGCAGGTGTAATCGGTGCAAATCACCACACTTCCGTCAATGTGTAGTATGTAAGGTAGATATTTTGCAGTCAAAAGAAGGTTACAGATTGATTTTCAGAAAATGTTCATGTCAATTATTACAATGGTTTCACCATTCGGTGCAGCGGCATGTAGTGACTCGCTGACTGACCTGCTACCTTCCCAGTGGAGGGGCGCAATGACTCTGTGTCCAGTGTCAGGTGATCTACCACCCAGGATTGATTGTGACTTCCATTAGGCAACAGTCCCACCCCATCATTTTCTACCACTTTACACCACCCACTACTGCTGCG